TGGTTAATCACACAGGAGGAGATTGCTCATCTTTCTTCTGCAGAGCTGCTGGTGGTTTCAAACTATGTACTTTTGAGTTAGCAGGGCTACTCTTTACCACTGAGCTACCAGAGCCCCTAAGGATATGGTAGACACAGTTATCCTCTCCAAGAGTAAGAATGAAGGAAGAGACACTAGATGGGATAGACAATGATGCTGATAAAGACTGTTGGGAGGCATTATTAAGGAGATAGTGTTGACAGAAATGCCAGAATATTCTTCATAGAATTTCCAAGATCAAGTAATGTATTATCTCCCTATATACTAATAGCATAACTTCACATTTTGGAACAAGGCCGAAACTTATGGAAGAGACTCTGGACAAGAAAAGGGAGGGTGACCTGTATGGTGAAGCCTAGACACACTTTAATTTGTCAGAGGGTCAGTGAAAGGGAGGAAGACCCTCAACAAGCTGCATTGACATCTGTGACTGTGACAAAAGCCTTTAATAGATCAGAGATAATGAGGATGGAACAGCATAGGGCAAGGTTCAGATCTATTGTTCATAGGGTTGCTATGGATTGCTATCAACTCAACGGCACCTAACAACCACTGCCACCACTAAAAATTTTTACCAAAATAAGTCTACATGGCCCTCACTCACAAACTTAAGAAAAAGATTTGCAAAATCTTTCCCCACAGGAAAAAAATCACAAAATTTCTAGTCTGGAAGGGACTTAAAAAAAAAAAGAATAATCAACAATAGTCCCAATTCAAGGATTTTCCTTTCTTAATTATAGGTTTTTTTCTATCATTTTTTTCATCAAAGTTCACTCTTGTACTAAATAAAATATGACAAAGATATACCCAGTAAGTAGAATTTCTGAGTTTCCCATCTCCAAATCCCTAACTGGTTTAATAATTTACTCCTTCTTAGTGCTTTAAAAATGGAACTTTTATCTCTGAATACATCTATAAAGCTGTTGTCTTCTCCTCCCACTTGTTAAATGGAGTCCATTCATCACTCATTTTATGGGTGCTTATCTGTTCTGAGTGGGGCTCCATCAGATAACCTGGTCCTTAGAAAAGCAGGGCAAGAATCCTAGGAATAGCCGATGTTACAAGAGCACCTCTCTTTGATTTGAATTTTCTAGGAAGGTTGTAGGATGTCTCCAGGGTCTCTTGCATTTCTGATGGCCCAGGAAATCATTACCTTGGTCTCAGAGTTTGGAGACCTTCGCCGAACACACTCACTAGATACAATCCTTCTAGAATGATTTGAGCATGAGTTTAATCTCCAGTTAGAACATTCCTGGTTTAATGTTGTGATATAATATGACAGATTTATATATTGTTCTGACATAATGAAATGCAAAGAGATGAAGTGTTTTATTTACACAGTAACCTCTAATTTCAACAGTTCATTGGCTGCTATATAGGCTTTCCTGGCCTTCTCCAAAGGCCTCAGGAAGCATTGCTGTGAGACTCAGAATAGCTTCCGTTTACAAAGACCCACAACACAGCACTGGGTCATTAAGTCAAGAAGGAAGAAAACAGTAACAGAAACAAAGGAATCCAGGAGGTATAACCAGCTGGGTGCAGGGAAAGGGACTGCCACTTCCAACAGCTTCCAATATACTCTCTGTTGCCCAGGTGTTTCAAGAAAGCTAAAGAAAGAAAAAAATTAAGAAGAAGAAGAAGGAGGGGGAGGAGGAGGAGGAGGAGGAGAAGGAGAAGGAGAAGGGGAAGAAAAAGGATGAGAATAAAGAAAGGGGAGCAGTGTGCATCCAGGGCAGAGTTGAAGAAGTTCAGAAGAGTACCCTATACGTATTCAAACAGAAGGGGCACAGAAGAAAACCTTTTAAAAAATTCTTAGTTTGCATACAATAATTCATTTACATTGTGTTTCATTCATGTACATCATGCTTTATATAATTATTCATACACATTGTATTTTATAGAATTAATTATTATTGTTCTATGCCCTGTTATATTGAGTCTACATTGTTCAAAATTCATTCAACAAACTTTGTTGGCCATGCGTTCAGTGAACATTGTATCCCATGCACATCAGTCCTGCATTCATGGAGAAGGAAGGTCTTTGAGGAAAGTAGCTCAATACTTCCATCCTATGTGGTATAGTCTGGAGTAGGGCAGTGCTGGGCCAGCAGTGGACACAGAATTCTCACCTTCTGTGCAGTGACACCAGACTCCACTTCTGATCAATGCACCGCACGTGGAGCTACCACCCACCTATCATTGGAGGCGTATGTGTGCCTGTGACGCTGAGCAGATGTCATCCTTAGACTAAAAAGAAAGGTCTGGCAACCTACTTCTGAAAAACCAACCCTTGAAAACTTCCAGGTCACCACCAGCTGACCTGTCATGAGGATGACGCAAAACGGTGCTGTGTTTTGTGTTGTTGTACGTGAGGTTGTCATGAGCTGGAAGCACCTGGACACAGCTAATAGCAGCCCAGCCCTAACAACATGTCCCACAAGCAGAGATCATACTTTGTGTTGGGATAGGTTGTAGAAAATCGATTAATCAACTCAGTTAATCCTGAAGCAGATGAAGAAAATGTCACAGTAAAAATTATAATCATTTTAGCGTTGGTGGAAATTTGAGTGTGACTCTGCCAGGTAGAGAAAATGGAGAGAGTTGGCTGTTTTCCCAAACAACAGGTGCTCTGGCTACAACATTAGAGGGTACAGTTTTGGCCAGGATTTAGAAAACCACCACCACCACCTGAAAATTACATGAATGTGAGTGATGGGGGAGATACTGGCTTACTCTCCTTTGCAGAACATGGCCAATAACTTGACGAGGGAATAACAGGAAGTAGCCCACTATTTCCATTTAATGGATAAAGTTGTTGTTTACATACCATCAAGTCAACTACAAGTCATAGTGATCTTATGTACAACAGATCTGAACCCTGGCCTATCCTGTGCCGTCCTCATCATTTCTGACATACTTGAGCTCATTCCTGCAGCCACTGTGTCAGTCCATCTTGTTGAAGACTTTCTTCTCTGTCACTGACTCCACCTTTCTAAACATAATGGTACTTTCCAAGGAATGTCTTTCCTAGCCTCCAAGGAGTACCCTGGCTGTACTTTTTCCAAACCATGTGTGTGTGTGTGTGTATGTAGATATAGATAGATAGATAAAGATGATATAGATATAGATATTTCTCTTTTGGCAGTACATGGGATATTCAGTACTCTTCTCCAACACTACAGCTCAAAGGTATCAATCAATTCTTCTCCTGTCATCCTTACTTATTGTCTAGTTCTCTGATGCATAGCAAGTGATTGAAGAGACCATGTCCAGAATCAGCCACACCTTTGTCTTCAAACTGACATCATTGCTCCTCAATAATTTGTATAAGTACGATGTTCTAACTGACTGCACTACTGGAGCTCCTCTCCTCAATAATTTATACAGGATCTTGACAATAGACTTTCCAAATAGAAAAAGGGACACTTCAAAACATGGGCTTTTTAGTGTCTTTGGTTGGGAGCAAGTGGACCTAAAATGAAACAAACCAAAAACCTTTTTCATCTCCTCTGTGGCAAAAATGGGCATGCTGGAGGCCCGGTCAAGTAGGGAGTTGAGCTGCTAAGACAAAAGCAGAGTCTTTCTGAAGGTGAATATCCACCAGCAGATCTGCTGAAAAAAGATGGACAATCTCCTTCTGAGTGGTTTACACCCTTGGTGACTTAATGGAGGGTCAGCTATGGTTGTTTCTGATTTGATAATGTTGAATTTCAGTTTGAGTGGCAAAAATAAGAAGGGAGTGGTTTGCTCTATGGGTTTGATGGTTTTGTTTTCCATCCAACTTGTTGAGAAAGATGAAAAAGTAGACGTTATACTAAACTAAGGTCACACTCTGGTGGCTTAGTGGTAAGGGGTTGCTCTGCCAAACCAGAGGTAGTGGTTTGGATCCACCAGCTGCTTGGTGGAAAGACAATTGACAGTCTCCTCTTGTTTGATTTAATAACTCTGAAAACCTGCTGGAGGGTCAGCTACGGATCACTACCATCACTCTAAGTGGAAAGACTGCTAATAGAAAAGTTGGTGAAAAGATGGGAACTTGCTGTTGTTCAGTGGGACAAGGGTGACAGAGCCGGCTCTCCCACAGATTTCCAGTGTGGGAAACCCTAAGGACAGTTCTACTGGGTCCCATGGGGTCACTGTGAGCCAGAATCAACTGGGTGGCAGTGGACAGGCTTTCAAAGTGTGGTTCAAGGACCAGCAGTGTTGGCATGACCCAGAAGCTTATCAGAAATGCACTCTTGGGCTCTACCCTCAGTCTACTGTGTCAGAAACTGCATTCTAAGAAAGTCTCAGGTGCTTGGTTCATGGGTACATCACAGTTTGGGAAGCAGGCTCCATCCCGGGATAGTGATTGGCTTGGTTCATCATCAGAAACTCTTGGAGAATCTTTTTCAGCTACTGACACCTGGCCCTGCACCCTGCCGTGAAGGGCTCTGTTGCTGAAGGCCTGGCCCCCCTAGAAGCTTCTCAGTGTGCACTCAGTGTAGAAAACCAAGTGGCACATTCTACTAGAGAATCTCCCGGAACACCCAGAGAGTTACTGCCTCACAGGACATCAGGAGGGGAGGTGTGGCCTTTTCTCCAGACCCAATCCCCCACCTTACCATAGAACAAAGGCTCAGACTACCCAGTCACTGCACATTTTCACACACAGAGCCCAGGTAGACATGGTCATTGGAGATCAAACCTTTAAGCCAGGACAATGCTCTGTCTGCAGGTTTAGCTCATCCTCAGAGAAGCCATTCACAATTTGTTTGGTCCTCACACTGAGAGTAGCAGAGGGAGAAAGGTGAGGGGCCTTGCAATGAGAATATAAACAAACCGGCAATAGAGGGGAGTTCCCCCATGCAAGCAGCACCCAGCGAAAGCCCTGCTGTGAGTCAGCACCAGGGAGGCCCAGCCCCTTGCAGGGAGCTGAGTAAGTCTCAGGCTGCGCTCCAGGCTGGGTTTTGTGGGCTGCAGCTGCTGCACGTCCCAAGACCAGGTCTTAGTAGCAACCTTCCTTCTACTGCTTCCCCCCCCCCCTTTCCTTTTGGCTGAAGAGAAGTGTCACATTTTGCTCACTCTCAGTCCTTCCCAGCCCCTAGCCCTCTCCAAAGAACTTGCGTGCTCCTGTGGAGGGGGTGCTGTGAGCCACCTCCAGCCCCAGATGACTGCTGCAGCAACTTTCAACACTTCTCACTGCAACACTATGAAGTTGCTTGGGAAGCTCAGGAGCCCAACAGCTGCCTTCTTACCTCTGTGCTTGCTCTTTATGAAGACTCTGCAGCTCGGGTATAGCCACCTTTATAACAACCGCTATGCTGGGTAAGTGGAGCAACTTCAAAGATCTTCCTGGCTTTTATTTGAAGGAGGGGCTGCTTGGCTCTTAAAATATTCCTCACTTTTTCTGATGTGTGGTCTCTGTGTGAAGCTGCATGTTTTCCCCTGACTACTTGGAGGAAATTTACACACACAGCCCTTCTCCAGTGCTTTGGTTTAGCCCACCTAGCATATGCGGTGGGTATGAGTCTCGCGTTATATATTTTGTCATGTGTCTTTGGACCTCAGCCTTAGACCCATCAACTCAACATTCTGTCTTTGTGTAGCGGTGTCCAGTATTTGCAGTATCTGCCTTGGTAGATGAGGAGAGTGAAGGATACTGTTGTACCCTGTGAATGATGCAAAAGAATTGGGACAGGACTGTCTGTGTGTAAATTTCACTGAAGTGATCTGGGAAAAAAAAGGTGTAACTTTTTTAGACTCGCATGCAGTAGCAGCGGGATTAAATCCACCAGTGATTAAGAACTGAGTTTGTGTGGTTTTTCAAAAGTGCTTGTTAGCCTGCATAACAGTTTATTAGAAAGATCTTGAGATCTGAGGTATGCAAATGATTCACGTCCAAATAAGCAGAATACAAGTAGCCAATTTTTTTGGAGGAGAAACACAGAAGGAGAAAAAGAATTTGTTATGCCCCCCTGTAGGTGTTCAGGCTTTGTTTGTGCCTCTACAAGAAGCTTGGAGCTGAGTACAAGGCAGCGTGTTACTACACCCATTCTTACTACCCTGAAGGCTTTCTGGGGTGTCTACTGCATGCAGGTTGCTGGAATTTGCAGGGAGTTGTTCTTTGAGTCTAATAAAGATCGTATTCCTGCATGCTAGAGCTGGGAAACCCTTAAACAGCCCCTCTAGTTCAATTCCTCCTTTTTTATGGAAGAAGACACCCGCTGTCCTAAATCTGTTGTAAATGGTCTATTATTCAGTAAGAACTGGTTGAAACAAGTTTCATATTGATCTGGATTATGATCGGGTCATTCCTAGTGTCTGAAACATAGTTGTTCTTTGTAAAAATAGAGGGGAGAAGAATGTATGTGTTTGACCCTGGCAGAGAATTGTGGTTTTCTTTTTCTTCTTAAGAATATGAGTATCATCTTTGGAGTCCCCTTGAATCCTGTGCCTCCAGAGGAAAGTTTGAAAGCATTTTCTCCATTTTAGAGGACATAGGATCAGGTAGAAATAATGGCTGAAAGAGGAACAATAGATAATAATAAGATGCCACTTGTTTTCACTGTGGGGCTCCCAAGAGAAACAAAAAGAAATTGGCATTCAAAGAACACGACTATGTAGGCTTTACAAGAGGTAATTTGCCATGTCCTGATAGGTCTTGGTCAAGAGGCCTGTATGTGATGGTTGATGATGCAGGCTAAGGCTGGATGTCAGATTCATGATAAATATGTCCCATAGATTGAGCTGCTTTCCTGTGACACAGGACCCTGTTCCTCCATTCAGCTGGTGCCCCATCAGTAATTATTTCCTCATGTGCTGGTCCTTGATTATAAGTTTCCAGGCCTGCCTCAGCTGAACAGGTGTGGACCATTTCCTAAATACCACTCAGCAGATGAAACGAGTCCAATGGAGGCACCTTTTCCTGATAGAATTTGCAGCTACTGGAACCCCTCTGGGAACCCTTGGTACATAGTGGGTAAAGTGCTTTGCTGCTAACCAGGAGGTCAGCAGTTTAAAGCCTCCAGGAGAGAGAGGAATTAATCTGCGTCTGCGAAGGCTGCAGCCTTCGAGACCCTAGGTGGCAGTTCTACTTTGTCCTGTGGGGTTGCTGTGAGTCCCAGATGACTGGAAGGCAGTGAGTTCAGTTGGAATTCCTCTGGAGGAAGTGGCTTTCCCTTTTCTATTCTGCAGGGACAATCAGAGTTGTTGTTTTATGCATAATAATTTAGTCCCAAATGTATAAATTACCAGATGTTTGAAAGTCAGATGAAGGGGAAAAAAGATAAAGCAATGAGAAGCAGGAGAGGGATCTTGTCCTGGCTTTCACATTAAAAGCCCAGGGCTTCTTTAAAAGCAGAAAGATTTCTAAGCACACACACCACCAAAGTTTGGGAAATTTAAGGTAATCATCAGATATGTGTCATGCTTTCATCAACAACAACAAAAAATACTGCACATATTTGGGAATATTTTATTTACTTGAACACTACTGTAGGAGCTTTGATGGCTCAGTGGTAAAGAGCTGCACTGCCAACCCAAAGGCAGGCAGTTCAAATCCACCAACTGCTCCATGGGAGAAAAATGGACAGTCTCCTCCCATGAGATTTACAGCTTCTAAAGATGTACTGGAAGGTCTAAGGGTTCCAACTCGAGGGCATATAACAACAGCAACAACTTCATAGTTCTTTGTAAGTCTATGTCTCCAAAGCAGACAGAACCTGGTGAGCAAATAGAACAGTATTCAAAAATAAGGGTGAACGTTGTGCTCATCCCAAGTTATCATTCCAAAGAACAGTTAGCCCTTGAATACTTTGTTTCGTTTTGAGAGTTTTGGTATTAAAAAAAAATAATGATGGAGCAGATCTATTTATAGTGTTTTTGCAAAAATACTTTTATAGAGTCACGGTTGAACCTAAGGAATATTATTTGCAAAACTTTGCGCATCATTGAAAATCTAGCACGCAGGGAAAATTGGGGAGCTCTGGTGGCTTAGTTGTAAGGAGTTGAACTGCCAACTGATAGACACTTGGTTTGAACCCACCAACCTCTCCTGTGTGATTTTACTGTCTCTGAAAACTCACTAGAGGGTTAGTTACAGGTCAGTTACAACTCTATGGCACATTACAGCCACAACAGGGTAAACTCACATGCTTTCTGAGCACTATGAATGAGTCTGAATCATTTTTGTACACAAAACAATAACAATTTTATGTAGTAGACATGCAGAGAAATGTCAAAATCACTAAGTAACTATTATTAAAAATGATGTGGCAAAATCTGGAAAAGGCACACATATTTGGTCTACTAGAGATATGTTGTTATGTGCTGTCAAGTCAGAACCTACTCATATATATCATTCTAGCAGATTTAAGAGGCTGTAAGTTACATGAGAAGACATTACCTATCTTTCTGTCTTGGAGCAGCTGGTAGGTTCAAACTACCTGCCTTTGAGTTGGCACAAGAACTTTTTAACCACGAGGTCACCAGAGCTTGTAGAGATAGGAAGGGACAAAGGAAAGTGACTGCTTAAGGAATACTGACTTTCTTTTAAGGGTGATGGAAAAATCTGGGAATGATTAGGGACAATAGCTACACAAGATGAAGATAATGAATATCAATAAATTGTACATGCAAAATGATTGAAATAGCAAAAGTTTTGGGTTTTTTTAACACAAAAAATATGTCTCAGGAGAAACTATGTAGAGACGGCAGTGAAAAATCTGATCACAAAAGTTAATACTTTCTTGGATAGCTATATACATTACACATAGGTAAAGAAGATTTAAAAACACACAGAAAAGGAATGAAATAAAGTATGGAAAGTAATGTGACTCCAAGTACTATTTGTTGACACTCTACTATTCCTCTGGTGATTTTCTATTGTTGGAGACTTTCTGTGATGGTAATGGTAGAGAAGCTCTGAAGAAGGCTTCAGGAGATACAAATGCAAGAAAGAAATGTGAAACTTCTGCACAGGAAACGTCACTGTGTTTTCTCCTTTGTCCACCTCTCCCTGTTTTCTTGGAAGCACACTGACTTATTTATTGTTGTTGTTGTTGTTATGTGCCGTTGAGTCGCTTG